GGGGAAGGGGAAAAAAAACCCCCCTTCAAAAAAAAATTTCTTTTCCCCGGGTTTTAAACCCCCTCCCTTACTTTTAAAAGGTTTTGGGGATAAAAAATAACCCCCCGGGGGAAGTGGGTTAATTGGGTTCCATTTTTGCCAAAGGGGAAAAAAAAAAGGGGGGGGGGGTTTTTTATTTCCCGGGTGGGGCAACCCCCCACCCGTTGGTTTTTTCCCCTTTCAAAAAAGGGGGGGAAAAAAAAAAAAAAAAGTGGGTTTTTGGGGGGGGGGGCCTCCTTTTGGGGTTTCCCCCCCCCCCAAACAAAACGGGGGCCTTCGTTTTTGAAACCCCTTCCCCTCCTTTTTAAAGGGGGGCCTTTGGGGTAACAGGGGGGGGGGGGTTTTTTCCCCTTCCCTTTGCTTCCCCCCCCCCCCCCCCCGGGTTCCCTTTTAATCCCCTTCCCTTTCCCCCCCCCCCCCCCCCCCCACGGTTCCCCTCGCCCCGACCCCCCCCCCCCATCGAAGGCGGGAACCTGTTGGGCAAGCCGAAGATCGTGGAGCGCCTGATCGCCCGCAGGTTCTTCAAGCGTAAGAGCAAGGACCCGGACTCGTACGCGTTCCTCAAGACCAGCGGCCACAAGAAGCTCTACGCGGAGTCGGTGCTTACGCTTAACGAGGCAGCCGCCGCGAAGAGCGGGGACGCAGGACCGTTCCTGATGCCCATGTGTCTACCGGTGAGTTATAGGTTACTTCTAGATCTGAACGAAGAGGAAGATATGTGTGGAGACGCAGCAGTGCAGCGGTACTCGGAGAAGGTTGGCACTTGGCAGCCGCTGCCTCGCTTGTCCGGAAGGGCCCGCAGGGAGGGATCCGTGGTCCTACCGAGGAATCATCCAGAGATAGAGATGCCTGTGCATCCGATCAATCTCCTTGGGTGTGGTGAAAGCTCGAGCTATCCGAGGCAGACCGCCGACGGAGAGAGAGACAGAGAGAGAGAGAGGAAGAGGAGGTTTACCGTTGCGTCGCCCCCGTGGTTTTGCCAGTCGAGGGTTCTCGTTGCGGCGGAGGGGGGGGTGCGCTACTGACCGCACAACAGGAGCAGAGTGTTGGGCCTGAGAGGTACAACGTGGTCGGCGTGCGGGGGTGGTGAAAGTGTTCGCCTAGGGAGCACGAGCTTTCGGTACAAGCACGGGTGAAATCGCCGCCCCACGCGTCTGCCGTAGTACGTCGGTGGTTTGGTCCTTGACGAGTGACAAGCGGGACGCAAGAAGGGCACGGCTAGTCTAGCTGCTGGTGTTCGGTGTAACCGCATATTTCTTCTGTGTCTCAATGATACCGATGGTTTTGTGGTTTCCATGTTTTGTTTCTTGGCGACGGTATGGAGGCATCCTACCCCCCCCCCCCCCCCCCCGGGGGCCGCCGTTGGCCCCGCCCACCCAAAAACCCAGGACAACCTTTTCGAGTGACCCA